GTGGTAGAAAATAATAATAATAATAATAATAATAATAAAGAATTGCATTGTGCTTGCCGACTGCTCGTACACAGGACGAAAACGTTCTTAGATCTCTAAGACTCAATTGAGTGTTGTCATATTACTGTTATTCTACTTTTTGATTTATCTAGGCTTCCTTTGTCTCCACTTTTTGGCTGTTCCCCTCAGGATCTCTCGTGTGTGTGTGTGTGTGTGTGTGTGTGTGTGTGTGTGTGTGTGTGTGTGTGTGTGTGTGTGTGTGTGTGTGTGTGTGTGTGTGTGTGTGTGTGTGTGTGTGTGTGTGTGTGTGTGTGTGTGTGTGTGTGTGTGGGAGGGGGGAGGGGAGGGGGGGGGAGGTCTTATCAGCAAGTGAATACAAAATGTCCTTGTTCCATTATTGCCTTCACATGTTATCTAAACTTGAATCGTGAGTTGATAAAAATAAATATATTCCCCCGCCCCCCCTTCACCAGCGATAGGGAGAGAGGGACTTGTATTCGCCCTTCTACAAGTCCGTGTCACTATGTCCGTGTCACTGTGTCCGTGTCACTGTGTCCGCGTCACTGTGTCCGTGTCACTGTGTCCGTGTCACTGTGTCCGCGTCACTGTGTCCGTGTCACTGTGTCCGTGTCACTGTGTCCGCGTCACTGTGTCCGCGTCACTGTGTCCGTGTCACTGTGTCCGTGTCACTGTGTCCGTGTCACTGTGTCCGTGTCACTGTGTCCGCGTCACTGTGTCCGTGTCACTGTGTCCGTGTCACTGTGTCCGTGTCACTGTGTCCGTGTCCTTGTGTCCGTGTCACTGAGTTCACAAACCGTTTGTGTATGTACCATTGTATTCGAGTCTCCATATTTAGTTGCAAGGATTATATTTTAATTTTTCTCTCCTACAATGCAATCACAATTGCTCTCTAGATATATGCACAGCTATACTAATACCTATACCCAGTATAACAAGAATATACGTCCAATGTTCAGGACAGAAGTGTTCGTGTTGGTTGGTCAGTATAACCACTTCTGGTGACCACAATAATCATCCAGAGGTTATGAATCTAGAATGCTAGTTATGGTGTTGAGGACACTTTGAAATAGGCGATCACAAAAGCGATCCTTCACAAAGGCGATCTGAACCTCTCTCCTCTGCATCACTGGGGCGCTTCAAGGGACACTTCTAGGACCTATTCTCTCTCTATTACGCGTAAATAATATTTGTCAAGTCTCGACCATAAAAGATATACGAAAGAGTCCGTAATATTTGCTGGCTGCTCAACTTTTATATATATTTCTCAAACACACTTTCTGACATCCTTAAAAAACACTTTAAACACAGAAATATACTAACTTTATATAAGTGGTTTGTAGCTAATGGAGTTTCTCTTGTTGTTGTTGTTAAAGATTAGGTACCTGGAACAAAGTTCCAAGTAGCACGGGCTAAGGTGAGCCCGTAGAAGTTTCTCTTGATATTAGCGAGACTCACTCTACGATATCATGCCGGGGCAGGAACAATTACACTGGGAGAAACTGGTTGTTAGCTTGACAGCTGTAGGTACAGCAGCCGCTATCATAAACACTGGCAGCAACCCGTCCTCGACTCAAGTCCATTACATCCAGCGGTCGACCCCACAGACGCATTCATAAATTTTAACTTGCTGTTCATTCAAAACGGGAATTTTCGCAAGTATAAATTAATATTATAATATATTAGCATATTGTGCATATATAGGCATAGGTTAGGTTAGGTGTTTAGGTTCTGTTGGCGATTATTTGTATTTGTAGTACGTGGGTGAAGCATTTATAGCGTTGTGATTCGAGCAAAATTCGTCAGTGAAGCACTTGTTCCGGAAGTGTTCGAACGTCAGCAGTTGTGAGTCGTGTGTAAACCGCTTTTCATTCATAAACAGGGGGTTTGGCGGGTGCATGGAATCACTTTTGGATCTTTGTTTGGAGGACGGGCTGCTGGCAGAATGCTCAACCTATCCTCGACTCAAGTCCGTTACATCCAGCGGTCGACCCCACAGCAGCCCGTCATCCAAAGACCCAAAAGTGATTCCATGCACCCGCCAAACCCCCTGTTTATGAGTTGTTGTTGTTAAAGATTCGCTACAGGAACAAGGTTCCAAGTAGCACGGGCTATGGTGAACCCGTAGTGTGTTTATGAGTGAAAAACGGTTTACACACAACTCACAACTGCTGACGTTGTTGCAGTCAGCAGTTCGAACACTTCCGGAACAAGTGCTTCGCTGACGAATTTTTTTCGAACCACCACGCTGTAAATGCTTCACCCACGTACTACAAATACAAATAATCGCCAACAGAACCTAAACACCTAACCTAACCTATACCTAAATATCTACAATATGTTAATATATAACAATATTATTTTATATATGAGAAAAAATCATATTTTAAATGAATAGCATGTTAACATTGATGAATGTGTCTTTGGGGTCGACCGCTGGATGGAAGGGTCGATTACCCTTCCATCACATTATTCACCCTTTTGAACTTACTATGGAAAATAGCAGGTACATGGACTGGACGGTAGAGCGACGGTCTCACTTCATGCTGGTCAGCGTTCAATGCCCCGATCGTCCAAGCCGTTTGGGCACCATTCCTTCCTCCACCGCCCCATCCCAAATCCTCATCCTGATCCCTTCCCAGTGTTATATAGTCGTAATGGCTTGGCACTTCCCCCCCCCCCTGATATTTCCCTTCCCTCCACAGATATATCTTCGTTACCTGTTCATCGGTAGAACAGGTTGGGCTTGGGGGGTCACCAGCGTTTCTGCTTCGATTAGAACGCTGGATTTCGTACGTTGTGGCAAATCAAGCGAACTAACTGGAATTTGTTTTAACGTTATTTGATAACGTTAAGAAACGTAGTTACGTTTTAAAGATACAAATACTATACAATGTATGTTTTCTGGGGGATAAGTGAATAGTATACAGATATCCTGTATTTCTCTCTATACACTGTATACCAATAAAAAAGGAACGCATGGTACACTGTGCAGACTACAGGACAGGTAGTAAAGCATCTTTATTAATTAGAATTTATTACCGTAAATTATCGTTGAAATAGGTGCCATCCCCCGGAATTTCTGGAAATAAAATCATTTTATTTTTTTAATGAGAACAATAGATTGTGTTTTTATTAAGAATAAAATGTGATCAATGAAAACTATCTCTTCCTAATCATTTATGTATATGTATATATATATATATATATATATATATATATATATATATATATATATATATATATATATATATATATGTCGTTCCTAGTAGCCAGAACGTCGTATTCGGCCTGCTATGCAAGGCCCGATTTGCCTAATAAGCCAAGTTATATATTTTCTCTAATTTTTTGCTTATGGAATGATAAAGCTACCCATTTCATTATGTATGAGGTCAATTTTTTTTATTGGAGTTAAAATTGACGTAGATATATATATATATATATATATATATATATATATATATATATATATATATATATATATATATATATATACATTAGTATATTTTATTTTAGTAGCAGTTTTTCTTGTAAACATATGTTGTTGAATATGACAGAAAGAGTAAGATTAATTATTCTAGCACGAATCCTCAATATTTCTTATTTTTTTCTTCACTGTCGAGGGTAGCTGAAAAATTAACTCTCCAAAGTTCATTTTCACATTTTATTTATGTTCTGACGCCTAGAAGCGTTTCGCAAGACATTTCTAATATTTTCAAAGACAATTTTACATACTCTGTTAATGCTTATATTTGTTTTTGGGTGAGGTGATAGGACATGAATCAATGGGTAAATTGCAGGTTTTATCTTCTTGCTTCTGTGTTGGTTCGGGGTCTTGAGGTGTGTTGAATGTAATTATGTGTTAATTGGCTATTTATTGCTGGTTTTGACTTTTTGATGTGTAGAGCCTCACTAATGTCGAGTCTCCTGTTGTCGTTGTATCTGTCGATAATTTCTGTGTTGCTTGTTAAGATTTGTGTGGCGATGGTGTGGTTGTGTGAGTAGATTATATGCTCCTTGATGGAGCCCTGTTGTTTGTGCATTGTTAGTCGCCTAGAAAGAGACGTTGTTGTCTTGCCTATATACTGAGATCTTTGGGGTTGACAGTCCTCAAGTGGGTATGTGAAAGCATAGACGACGTTGGTTTCTTTCAAGGCGTTCTGTTTAGTGTCTGGAGAGTTCTTCATGAGTAGGTTGGCCGTTTTCTTGTTTTTGTTGTATTTTGTTAATTGTATACAATACAATACAATACAATTTTATTTAGGTAAGGTACAAACATACAATAAATTTTTACAAGGATTGGTTGACTTATAGGTAGAGCTAGTACATATAATGCCTAAAGCCACTATTACGCAAAGCGTTTCGGGCATTGTATCTTCTGATTTGTGTCTGTGGGGATAACGATCCGATTAATAATATATTTGAGAACACTTTCCTCCGTTTTATGAGCCGTCGAAAAAAAGTTTCTGTAAAACAGTCTAAGAGACATGGTCTCTCACACAGATCACAGTAATTACAGGTTTTGTGTTAGTTGACTCTTCAGAAGTTGCATGGCGTTTCACCTTTCTTTTAATGACGTCTTCAACATAACCGTTAGAGAAGCCATTGTTGACTAGGACCTGCCTTACTCTACAGAGTTCTTCGTCGACCTGCTTCCAACCAGAGCTGTGAGTGAGAGCTTGGTCGATGTAAGCGTTGATAACACCCTCTTGTACTTGTCTGGGCAGTCACTATTGGCATTAAGGCACATTCATATGTTCGTTTCCTTAGTGTAGACTGCAGTGTGAAAGTCACCATTCCTTTCCGTAACTGTTACACCTAGAAAGGGCAGCTTCACTCTCTATCTCAAAAGTGAAACTTAACACCGAATTTTGCTCGACTGCCTCCTTCAGCTGCTGCAGATGTCTGACATCAGGTACCTGCATAAATATGTCGTCAACGTACCTGCAGTATATGGCGGGTTTCAAGTCCATGTCAACTAAGATCCTCTACTCTATGGTACCCATATAGAAGTTCGCAAACAGGACACCTAGGGGAGAACCCATGGCGACCCCATCTACTTGTTTATACATGTGCTCATTTGGGACTCAAGAAGGGTGCCTCTTTAGCACAAGCTTGGAGTAGCTTCTTTAGTATGCTCTCTGGTATGTCAAGAGGGGTACAAGCCGGATCACGATACACTTTGTCCATCATCATCCTGATTGTTTCATCCACTGGCACGTTGGTGAACAGCAACTCCCCATCAAGTGTGGCTGTGGCCCGTGCTCCCCGCAGTAAGTCACCGAATTCCTTTGGAGACTTCAGGCTAAAGGCACAAGGTACATAAGGAGTCAGCAAGCCGTTGAGTCGCTTAGCCAGTCTGTACGTGGGTGTGGGTATTTGGCTGATGATTGGCTGAAATGGGTTTCCAGTCTTGTGGGTCTTGACATTTCCATATGCGTAACCAGGTTTGTATTCCCCAACAACCTTCGGCAGTTGGAGTCCATATTTCTTGACTTTCACAGTATCAATCAATCTGTTTTCCTAAAAAATTAACAGAGTATGTAAAATTGTCTTTGAAATGTACCAATTGATTCACATCCTATCACCTCACCCAAAAACTTATATAAACATTAACAGAGTATGTAAAATTGTCTTTGAAAATGTAAGAATTGTCTTGTGAAACGCTTCTAGGCGTCAGACCATAAATAAAATGTGAAAATGAACTTCGGAGAGTTAATTTTTAAACTGCCCTCAACAGTGAAGAAAAACATAAAAAATATTGAGAGGATTCGTGATAGAATCATTAATCTTACCCTTTCGGTCATATATATATATACATATATATATACATATGTTGTACCTAGTAGCCAGAACGTAATACTCGGCCTACTATGCAAGAACCGATTTGCCTAATAAGCCAAGTTTTCCTGAATTTATATATTTTTCTAATTTTGTTCTTATGAAATGATAAAACTATCCATTTTATTATGTGTGAGTTTTTTTTTTTAATTTGAGTTTAAACTAACGTAGATATAAGACCGAACCTTACCTAACCTAACCTATCTTAGCCTAACCTAAACTAACATAACTAAGTCAATAATTTATATTCCTAATACAATATAATAATATAAATTAAAATAAACTAATTGGAAACGTATTTTTGGAAATAAAAAAAATCACTCGGCCTGTTAGGCAAATCAGGCCTTGAATAGTAGGCCGAGAAGGGCGTTCTGGCTACTAGGTACGACACACACACACACACACACACACACACACACACACACACACACACACACACACACACACACACACACACACACACACACACACACACACACTATATAGCACCCCTCAGACCTGACTTGAGAAGTAGAAGAACACCCAGAACCCCATCAACCAGGTATATGTGGGCCTGCGGGCCGCTCCAAGCAACAGCCTAGTGGACCAAACTCTCACAAGTCAAGCCTGGCCTCAGGCCGGACTTGAGAAGTAGAAGAACACCCAGAACCCATCCAGCTACAAACCATGCAAGGCCCGCTCTTATTTACACGTGTAAATAAACTTGACCGTAAAACATACCCGTAAATGAAGGCTTTGATGTCGTTATCATTGCGAGTCTTGCAATGAGCCTCGTCAACAAACCACTTCTTCAAATCGTATATTTTGGTGGAGTTATCGGAGTGAAGTCTCTCACATAGATCACAGTAAGGCTTAGCGTAATTTACCCAGTCGATGGGAAGTCGGTGGAATCTTTTCCATCTGTGGAGGAGATGGAACAGTCATTTCGGGATGGTGATGGTTGTTGTGGTGGTTGTTGCAGCTACTGTAACAGTGCAACAATGCAGTTACTCTGGAGCTGAAAGTTGTAAGTAGCACGGGCTATGGTGAGCCCGTAGTGGGCTTATCTAGCACAAGATCGGGGCTGTAACTGTCCGGATTGTGAGCTGGTAAGGGGATTATGAGGAGTAATTAGGTAGTTAAGTCTAACTACGTAGCACATAGAGGAGATATGAGAAACGAGCAGCTAGTCGTTTTATTTATGACGTATAACTAAACTGTCAGCGAAATCTCAAATTTATTTGTTAATTAAATTCAAGGATTAATTATTGAATTATTGTTTAGAATTATTGTTCTGAAATTAATTTCTTATTCTTCTAAATTATTTTTCTCCCTCACTCTTTGATATTGTTTCATTAGACTCATTGGTACAACGATGGATTCACTTTTTGCAGGTCCGCGTTCGATCCTGGATGGCTCAAGTGGTTGGGCAGTAATTTCTTCCCTTTGTTCTATCCCAGATCCTTATTTTCATATCCTATCCAAGTGATATATCGTCATCTCCATATAACTACCTTATTTCTTACCTGATATTCTTTTCTGACTCCCCAAATTCTTTCCTGATTTCTAATATTCTTTCCTGAGTGCTAATATTCTTTTTTGACTCCTTTGTGAGTAATATTAGATTTCTGAATGTTCTTGCATCCAGAATGTAGTTCCTATTCCTAAATGTTCTTATTATCAGTAGTATTATTTAAATACATTCTTTAATGTTTAAATACTGTATTCCGTTCAAACAGAGCTTGAAAAGAGTGTGAACAGAGTTTGAACAGTGTGAACAAAGTTTGAACAGTGTGAACAAAGTTTGAACAAACATACATCAAATTTGAACAGAGAAACAATTGATGTAAACATGCCAAAGGTTTTGTAGTTATCGTTTCTAGGTTATCATAGGGGGGAGGCTGCGATAGCGGAGTCTTATGTATTCTTGAATAGTAATAATTGGATAAATTTATTGATGTTAGTTATAAGGGAGAATGCTATGCTACGAGGTTGCCAGGACTGGTTAAAGGACTTACTTGAAGTACTCATTATCTAGGAGAATGAGGCTACCAGGACTGGTTATATGACTCACTTGAAGTACTCATTATCTAGGAGAATGAGGCTACCAGGACTGGTTAAAGGACTTACTTGAAGTACTCATTGTCTAGGAGAATGAGGCTACCAGGACTGGTTATAAGACTCACTTGAAGTACTCATTGTCTAGGAGAATGAGGCTACCAGGACTGGTTAGAAGACTCACTTGAAGTACTCATTATCTAGGAGAATGAGGCAACCAGGACTGGTTAAAGGACTCACTTGAAGTACTCATTATCTAGGAGAATGAGGCAACCAGGACTGGTTAAAGGACTCACTTGAAGTACTCATTATCTAGGAGAATAAGGCTACCAGGACTGGTTATAAGACTTACTTGAAGTACTCATTATACGCTGTGTCGTTGTGGTCGAGGTAGATGAGATAGTCAGCGAGAGCCTTGGCGGTAGGGAAGCTGAGGGCATCAATGTAAGAATGAGGCGGTGCATGTTGTGAGTAGTTAGCCAGCCCATAGACCACAGGTACTATGTCCAGCCTGTTGGAGGAGGATCTGACCTGTTATAGCTATAAAATATATATATAACTATATAGCTATAGTTATATAAAAACCATACTACCTGACTCACCATGTACTCAGTACTAGGTCATATTAACTCATCTCTTCCCCTCTCAGGGGGGACTCTATCCTCCTGTTACCTTACTCTTAACTTGTAATATAAATTTTCGTGATTTAATCAAGCACATGTTGTTTCTGCAATTATTTAATCAAGCACATGTTGTTTCTGCAATTATTTAATCAAGCACATGTTTCTGCAATTATTTAATCAAGCACATGTTTCTGCAATTATTTAATCAAGCACATGTTTCTGCAATTATTTAATCAAGCACATGTTTCTGCAATTATGGAAATCTTAATGGTTTAAGTGTTTATGATTTCCTTTTCAGCTAGTAAGTGTGAGTCTTTACCTTAGATAAGAAGCTTAACCAAAAGCCAATATCTATCTAAAGAAAATAAATTTTGGGGGGACTTATAAAAGTCAACCCCCCCAAAAAAAACAGGTTGAATTCTGACAGTTGAAATAATTTAGAAGACCCATCAAATGACTTCTAAACAGAACATTTTGAAAAAATACTTTCAAAGTGTGATTTTAGAAGTTCATTGATGAACCCAATATGTGGTGAATGGGATGGAACTATCAAGAGAAAGCACCAAGCCACCACGACTCTATATATATGTATAGCACTATATAGTCGTAATGGTTGATATAGTGCTATATCAGATCCTTATCAAATCCTGTTGCAATATCCTTATACTGACTACATAGTCAGGATAAGAATTTGGGATGGAACTACCAGGAGAAAGCGCCAAGCCAAGACTATATAACAATGGGAAGGGGGTCAGGATAAGGATTTGGGATGGGACGGCGGGGAGGAATGGTGAGCTGAGTGAATTACCTCAACACATTGAAGAGCTTCTCAGTGACGTAGTCACGACACAGAGAGTTCTCAAAGGAGAGGTAGAACTTGTAGTCAGCGGCGAGAGTTGAGTGGCACTTGAGAGACTGCTGGCTCTGGCACTTTGTTCCTCCACACTTCCCGAACTCGTCAATCTTGATCCAGTTCCTCAACGTTCGAATCAGACTCGAAAGCAATTTGGTCCTCGTTAGTCAGAACTATATATATATATGCTTACGTGCATTCATATATATATATATATATATATATATATATATATATATATATATATATATATATATATATATATATATATATATATATATATATATATATATATATATGACAATGTCAGGCCACGAAGGAAGGAATGAAACATGGAGTTTTCTTTCCTGATTAATTTTTAAGATATTTTTATGAATTTTGAAGAAATTTTTAAGAATTTAAAAAAATTTTTAAGAATTTTAAAGAAATTTTTAAGAATTTTAAAGACATTTTTAAGAATTAAAAGAAATTTTGAAGGACTTTAATGAAATTTTTAAGAATTTTAAAGACATTTCAAAGAATTTTATTTTTTCTTTTAAATTTTAAAGAAGTTTTTAAGAATTTGTTGACAATTTTTAAGAACTGTTAAGAACTTCAACCAATTTCCTGTTCCATTCGTTCCTTCGTGGTCTAACATTGTCACTTTGCTTTCCATGTGTTAATTTCTTGGTGATTTGCACACTCACACACACACACACACACACACACACTCACACACACACACACACACACACACACACACACACACACACACACACACACACACACACACACACACACACACACACACACACACACACACACACACAACATAGGAGCAGTATTGCATTAGGGGGTGATGTGGTGGAGGCTGACTCCATACACAGTTTCAAGTGTAGATATGACAGAGCCCGATAGGCTCATGAATCTGTACACCTGTTGATTGACGGTTGAGAGGCGGGACCAAAGAGCCAGAGCTCAACCCCCGCAAACACAACTAGGTGAGTACAACTAGGTGAGTACACACACACACACACACACACACACACACACACATTCAAATGAGAAATCCATGGAAAATCATAAAATGTTTACCTAACATTTGGAGAATACTGAAGTATCTTACCTAACATAAGTTAAACAAAATAAAATAAAGACATGATAAATATACAATAAATAAAACACAGAAGTATATACATGTTGTTTAACTAACTTTTCAGCCCATCCTCTCAACAAATAACCCACCAACGTCTCAAATGCATCGTACTATGGGAAGTATTAACGACATACAAATGTCTACGTTTTCTATACATCGAACTCGAAAGGTTAGGTTAGGGTAGGTTAGGTTAGGTGGGTTGCTTGGGTTCGTACGCTTCGGTTATGTTGGTAGGTTGCATTTTTAACGGAGAGGCAATTGGAAAAAACAGGCTGAACGTCATAGGCGTTGGTTAAACGGCATTGACGTTAGACTAGCGTTAAAGGCGTTGAATCAACAGTATATAGACGTTAAAATACCGTTTAGGGCTTTGAATCAACGGTATTTAGACGTTAAAATGCCGTTAAAGGCGTTGAATCAACAGTATTTAGACGTTAAAGTACCGTTAAAGGCGTTGAATCAACAGTATATAGACGTTAAAATACCGTTTAGGGCTTTGAATCAACGGTATTTAGACATTAAAATACCGTTTAGGGCTTTGAATCAACGGTATTTAGACGTTAAAATGCCGTTAAAGACGTTGAATCAACAGTATTTAGACGTTAAAGTACCGTTAAAGGCGTTGAATCAACGGTATTTAGACGTTAAAATACCGTTTAAGGCGTTGATTCAACGGTATTTAAACGTTAAAATACCGTTAAAGGCGTTGAATCAACGGTATTTAGGCGTTAAAATACCGTTAAAGGCGTTGAATCAACGGTAGTTAGACGTTAAAATACTGTTTAAGGCGTTGAATCAACGGTATTTAGACATTATAATACCGTTAAAGGCGTTGAATCAACGGTATTTAGACATTATAATACCGTTAAAGGCATTGAATCAACGGTATTTAAACGTTAAAATACCGTTAAATGCGTTGAATCAACGTTTTTCACGTTAATTCACTATTACAGCAACGTCGCGTGCCTGGCTTTGCCTGAGGGAGAGATCCAGTGGCACATTGTCAAAGAGTTACGTCGACTTGACGTCACTGGCGTTAATTCAACGTTAATAGTATTAACTGCGTTAGTAACAACGCAGTTACTAATATTATAACAACTGTGGCAGCTCACTGTTTCCGTCCGCCAATGGTGTTGCAATTGGAGACTAGCCAGGCCGCCATCTTGGTCTTCCCTGCTGCGTAGTTCCTGTTGCTCGGCTTCTCAGGCACCCTCCGCCGGTACACGCGTCCGTACCTGCAGGCAACACAGGGAGGCTTATGCCTGAGTGTGAGATATATGTATATGTAGCCTGAGGAGAAATGTGTGTTCCTGCAGCAGCAGTATTGTATCCTACAAGAAACATATTTTCCTGTGAGTCCAAGAATATAAAATATGTGTAATTCACTTGCTAGTCTCCTAAACAAAAGGCATTGCAGTGTATCGCAGAGCCGCAGGTGTTTCTGTACTTATCGCTTGGAATGCTATGAAGCGGGTGTTTTATGGACGTACTCAGGTGTTAATAACCCCCCTTCAGGTTAATTAATGGGATGTTTAATTACTCAATTCGTTTTCCATCACAGGTTTCTACAGGGGTAACTGAGGTGTAAATCCAAAGGTGCTGAGGCACCTTTGGATGGCATAAGTGACGTTGCAAAATGGTCTGTCAAACGTGAATTAATAATAATAATAATAATATTAAGAATAATAATATTACTAATAATAGTAATATTACTAATAATAACAACTTCAAATATCTAATTCAGATAGAAAATTCTTCTTTCATTTAAAATCATTTGAGCATTTTGATTCCTTTGTTAAATAAAAACCCATCAATTCCTCCTGTACGAACTCCATTCGAATCCCCAACTGATCAGACCATACACTATTAAAATCAACCCAACCAATACATACGGCAATGGGAAGTCTGAGTCGAGTCTGTAGGTGAAAGTCCAGTTGAAGACCTGGTTAAATCGCTCAATCCTGGCGAAGAGATGAGCTGGAGACTCCATCAACCAGAAGACGTAACGTGTGTGAGGAGATCTGGTGACCAGGATGAGTTTTAATCATCAAAATCACACTGGTGAATTGATGGTGTGTGTGAGCATCTAAGGTGTGTAATGTTTGCTTTGTAGCATATTAGGGTGAAGGTTAGGTTAGTTTAACATGTTAGGGTGAAGGTTAGGTTAGGTTAGGTTAGGTTAACATGCCAGTGTGAAGGTTAGGTTAAGTTAGGTTAGGTTAGGTTAGGTTAGGTTAGGTTAGGTTAACATGCCAGGGTGAAGGTTAGGTTAGTCTAACATGTCAGTGTGAAAGTTAGGTTAGTTTAACAAGTCAGTGTGAAGGTTAGGTTAGTCTAACATGTCAGTGTGAGGGTTAGTCTGGCAGGTTAATATTAAGCTATTAACACCAATCCACAACATTAAGTGTTCACTAACTGCAACTGTTTAACGTAACTCAAAATTAATTGTGCCGTTTTTAAATTTAATTAATTTATTTAGTTTGCAAAGTTTAAATAAAGTGTATAATATTTTAGCGTTTATCTAACGTAATATTGATATCCTGAGCTTCGAGTGAAGTATTCCACGCTAAAACATTGGATATCTTGACACACACACACACACACACACACACACACACACACACACACACACACACACACACACACACACACACACACACACACACACACACACACACACACACACACACACACACACACACACACACACACACACACACACACACACACACACACACACACACACACACACACACACACACACACACACACACACACACTACATATGCTTGCCTGGCAGACAGTCAGGCTGCCTGAAGCTCCAAGTACTTGTTGAACAATTCTCACCGCTGAGTGGGGAGAGATTTATCATCAGACCTGAAATGCCACAAGAGAGCATCAATTTCCTCGTGTGGGAACCTGGACCGATCACCTGTAGTCATGCAGGTGTTTACACGACAACCGGCCCGAAGGAACGGCTCCCGTCCGAACCCGAACCAAAAATGTTTCAAATCGAACACCTGAAAACACGTGAGAATTCAGTTAATGTATTAAAAAAAATGAAAATATGGAAATTTTGCGTATTTGGCAAATAGATTTAAATCTATTTTTTCTGGTGATATAATCAAGGAAGAAGCAATCGAAATGATTCATAAAATGGGAAGATTTGGGGAATTTTGGAGGAATCTTGGGGGAAATATTGGGAAAATCTTAGAGGAATCTTAGGGAAATCTTGGAGGAATCTTAGGGAAATCTTAGAGGAATCTTAGGTAAATCTTAGAGGAATCTTGGGAAATCTTAGATGAATCTTACAAAAATCTTGGAGAAATCTTGAGGAAATCTTGGAGGAATCACAGGGAAATCTTGAAGGAATCTTGGGAAAATCTTAGATGAATCTTAGGTAAATCTTGGAGGAATCTTGGGAAATCTTGGAGGAATCTTGGGAAAATCTTGGAGAATCTTGGAAACAGGAAAAAAGTCAACTTACTTCATTCCAAAACAAGATCTTCTTCAGTGGAGGATTATCGGGATCGAGGTTGACCTTGTCCCTCGGTCTCTCTACATACAGGTCCACAGGTTCAGAGGTCAGGTTTTCGGAGATTGGGTTGTCTTCGAAGGGAAAGTTTGAGTCCCCCTCGACAATACCTCTCTGCCAGACCAGTCCTTCCACTGTATAAGTGTTGTTCATGCTTCTGTAGGAGAGATTAAGTGATTGTGAAGAACATTTTTGAGATAGAGAGAAAGACAGAGAGAGAGAGAGAGAGAGAGAGAGAGAGAGAGAGAGAGAGAGAGAGAGAGAGAGAGAGAGAGAGAGAGAGAGAGAGAGAGAGAGAGAGAGAGAGAGAGAGAGAGAGAGAGAGAGAGAGTGTGAGAGAGAGAGAGAGAGAGAGAGAGAGAGAGAGAGAGAGAGAGAGAGAGAGAGAGAGAGTCAGTCTATCCACGCATGAGCTCCTAAATCCCATCTTACTGTGCACCAGTTGACCTTAAAAAAAATACCTCCCACAATCAATAACAATTTCAACTGACCGCCACAAACCATTGCAGAGTTTGTCAGCGTTGCAATATTCGCACAAAGTGGCTGTTTTAGAGACAAAAGCTCTGAACCGCAGTGCTCTTTATAAAGGTCATTGGTCGTTAACTTGCCTGTGAACACCTGGTCGTAGGTCATTGGTTGTTAACTTGCCTGTGAACACCTGGTCGTAGGTCATTGGTTGTTAACTTGCCTGTGAACACCTGGTCGTAGGTCATTGGTCGTTAACTTGCCTGTGAACACCTGGTCGTAGGTCATTGGTCGTTAACTTGCCTGTGAACACCTGGTCGTAGGTCATTGGTCGTTAACTTGCCTGTGAACACCTGGTCGTAGGTCATTGGTCGTTAACTTGCCTGTGAACACCTGGTCGTAGGTCATTGGTCGTTAACTTGCCTGTGAACACCTGGGCGTTTCACATTTATTTTAGGTGAGTGAGGATTTAGTTAACACAATTAAACAAGGCTTCAATCAACCCTGATGGTAAATTAATTCGTTTTAATATATGGTATTTACTGAAGTTTCTGTTGCTGATTTTCTTGGTTACTTAGCTAATGAGTTATTCAACCGTGAATTACCTGTCTTCCAATATAATTTTCAAGCTTCTAAAACTATTTATACATGAATGTAAGTTTATTTTAATAATGAGTAATATCTATAAACTAATGGTAATGTTAATATCAAATGGTAATGGAATATCCACTTTGTCCATTGCTTTCTAATTTATATATATATATATATATATATATATATATATATATATATATATATATATATATATATATATATATGTCGTACCTAGTAGCCAGAACGCACTTCTCAGCCTACTATGCAAGGCCCGATTTGCCTAATAAGCCAAGTTTTCATGAAATAATATATTTTCTCTAATTTTTTTCTTACGAAATGATAAAGCTACCCATTTCATTATGTATGAGGTCAATTTTTTTTTATTGGAGTTAAAATTAACGTAGATATATGACCGAACCTAACCAACCCTACCTAACCTATCTCTATAGGTTAGGTTAGGTTAGGTAGCCGAAAAAGTTAGGTTAGGTTAGGTTAGGTAGTCGAAAAACAATTAATTCATGAAAACTTGGCTTATTAGGCAAATCCGGCCTTGCATAGTAGGCTGAGAAGTGCGTTCTGGCTACTAGGTACGACATATATATATATATATATATATATATATATATATATATATATATATATATATATATATATATATATATATATATATAGGGGTACTCACATATTGAGGTTGTGTCCCCTGATGAGGACATCAAAGAACTCCAGCAGGGCTGTTGAGGAACCAAGGTAGTTAGAGTGTCCATGTTGTTAAGGTAGACGAGCACACTAACAACAGTAACCACGCACAGCAACGCTATCTGCACACCAGAGAAAATATCACATCACTATTATAATAAAAATTATTATTGTTACTGACTGTGAAGGAAAAGATCCAGTGTATAAACTAATGTATTAACTAGCTAATTTACGGGTCCTTTATTCACCTTTATTCAAGGATGTGTTATATAATGTTCTTCGAGAACACTTTGAGATAGGATGTGTAGGTTATATGCTAAAATTTGATTTTTAATTCATATATTATTTTTTGTTTAACTTCTTTCTAGCTCTGTACGGCATTGTAGTAAGTTTCTCCATTATTATTATTGTTTTTGTAATAAATCTATTAAAATAAAATAACTATTTTAACATTAGGTAAAATAGTTCCACCCTACTACTGTTCCACCATCACCATTAGGTGGGGATGGGTGGAACAGCAGGTGGTGATGGGTGGAACAGCAGGTGGTGATGGGTGGAACAGCAGGTGGTGATGGGTGGAACAGCAGGTGGTGATGGGTGGAACAATAGGTTGTGACAGGTGACGCCGACACACAGGACTAAACCAACCCCCCCCCCCCCCCCCCACACAAAGTCCTACACCACACACCAAATCCTGGTTATAACAACACAATTTACACAACATCTAACCAGCTCCACCACAACCCGCCCGACTACACCACACATCCCTCGCAACTGATTCATTCCCCCCTCGTTCCTGTCCTCCTTAACAACCACTTTTCCACTTCATCCGCCATTAGCCAACGTCGCACGGAACGACCGACCGAACCACAGGTCAAGGAGCGATCAGTTGATACATTGAAATTAACTCACCTGTCTCCTCATAGCCGTGAATGAGTGAGTCCGTCCGCTGAACGAGTGAGTCCTTCCGTCGTCTGAGGGTATGAGTGAAGAACTAACTCATTCGTCTATGAGGCCCCACAGGTGTCCGTGATGTCGAGTGCGTATATATATATATACAAATATATATATAAATATATATATATTTAGGTATAACTCCAAGCTTCACATTAAACTTAACACTTTTGTTTATATTATATACTATTGTTGCTAGTTATACTATTATTTAAAAACACAAGCATATAACACGAATTCGTTTAGCCGTTTTCAGGTAAAAACGTTGATACTTAACGTTAGCAATAAAGTTCTCTGTGGTCGAGCTGCTACAGGTAGGTGTATACACGTGTTGGGTGTGAGGATACTGGGTGACACAGCTGCCACAGGCGAACCACGCATGTGCGATATCACCGAGGGATCATTCTCCGTTATCACCGCCTGGGTAACCATATCTCCTTAACAGACACCTCCATCGACACAACTTTCGAGTCAAAATGTTTCTTGTTGTGTATATTTTCAAATATATATATTTGTTAGGTGTGCATGCGTTGTGTTGATACAAACGGCTATTCCACCCTTCTCTTCATATTTCATTTCGTGTTATCCACTGTTCTATATTCTCCTTTCCTTTGTTTTTCTCTCTCTCTCTCGTTATCAACGCACTCCCAACCTTCCCCCCTAAACTGTTTTAGATTATAATCTAGCACAAATATTTCTAAACAGGAAACGCTAAGCCTGTATGACCATAGGAAAGGGATATGAGAAACAAATAGGAGCTGGGATATGAGAAACATTTAGGAGCTGGGATATGAGAAACATATAGGAGGTGGGATATGAGAACAGAATAGGTGCTGGGATATGAAGACACTATAGGACATAGGATATGAGGACAGGATAGGAGCTGAAACATGAAAAAAAAGATAGAAACTAGGATATGAGAAAATATCGGAGCTGGGATTTAAGAAAAATATTGTGAAAATATTTTTTCACATTTATGTAGTATTTTGGTTAAAGAAACTAGAGGGGGGGGGAGGGGGAAGAGAGGGAGGGAGGGAGGGAGGGAGCTGGGATATGAGATATGTATAGGAGCTGGGATATGATAAATGGATAGGTGCTGGGATATGAGAAATGGATAGGAGTTAGGATATGAGAAATGGATAGGTGCTAGGATATGAGAAAAGGTTATGAACTGGGATATGAACTAAAATATGAGGACGGAAATCCATAACAGTACCGACTCACTGAAAGAGATAACAATATTTCTTATCTAAACCTCGATATCTTACGCAACGATATCTTAAGCTTCTGGTTAGTTCAGTTGGTTATTCACACACCTGTCTCATAGTTTGAAGTTTCAGACATAATGTCTTAACAAATCTGTAAATTCAAACGGTTCGGAATCACCTAAAAATATCTGCACGAAGCTAAAGGTCTCCTTTCTGCAGCAGCTCATGTTTATTCTAAACAAAACTCACACATATGAGCGTCTTTCCTTCGCTTGAAACAATCAAGCTATCCCAAGTCTATCATTTTTTGCTGGTGCTGTCGTAAGAAGCAGCTGAACATGTTGTACACACAAAATATTTAGGAACCATTCAGAAAGGCATTGATCCATTCAGGAAAGCATGGAACCATCCAGGAAGGCATGGAACCATTCAGGAAGGCATGGAACTATTCAATACGGCAGGGATTCATTCAGGAAGGCATAGAACCATTCAGGAAGGCATGGAACCATCCAGGAAGGCATGGAACCATTCAGGAAGGCATGGAACTATTCAATACGGCAGGGATTCATTCAGGAAGGCATAGAACCATTCAGAAAGGCATAGCACCATCCAGGAAGGCATGAAACCATTCAGGAAGGCATAGAACCATTCAATAAGGCATGAAACACTCCAAGAAGCCATGGAACCACTCAACAGAGCCTAGAGCCACATTTATGTAGTATTTTGGTTAAAGAAACTAGAGGGGGGGGGGGAGAAGGGGGTGGGGGAAGGTCTGACGTTAACAACGCTTTCAAAGTCAGGTAACCTGGCGTACCCAAAGGGCAGAGACCTGTAACATAAACTGGTATAACCTCATTACTGCCATGATCTCGACACTGGTATAACCACATCCCAGATATGCCCCCCAAAAGTCACTAGTGTAACCACACCCAACTTGAAATAAAGTCACAAATGGCATGAAATAACGATAACAAAAGCCTAAAATATATCAAACGCAACGAAGGATATCTTCAGATAAACAAATAACGCTTTGCAACATCTCGCAAAATGGTAAATGGAGTGTTGCCTTTTCCTTGAAGATTTTGCAAGAAAGAGAGAGAGAAAGGGAGAGGGGAAAAAAAAAATTTGCAGTGGTATTTCCAATTTCCTCCTTGGATGTGTGTTCGGCATTGATTAGTGACAGGAGAGACTCTTGAGGCTTCTCTCTCTCTCTCTCTCTCTCTCTCTCTCTCTCTCTCTCTCTCTCAGCCTCACTAAAGAAGCTTCCTTTGAGCTCTGAGTTTCTCTGATGCTCAAAGCTGCTGTATTCGATAGTGTGGTTGCTTTGGCTGGTAAAATCACCTTCCTTTATTACCATCTCTCTCTCTCTCTCTCTCTTTTTTATCTCTGCGTTTGATCTGTCTTTCGTCTGTCTTTCTGTCTGTCTCTATCTCTGTCTAAAAGCAAAAATCTTGAAATTCCTTTTTCTGCTCCTCCTTTCTTCTATGATTGTGTGTGTGTATATTCACCTAGTTGTGCTTGCGGGGGTTGAGCTTTAGCGCTTTGGTCCCGCCTCTCAACTGTCAATCAACTGGTGTACAGATTCCTGAGCTTACTGGGCTCTATCATATCTACAGTTGAAACTGTGTATGGAGTCAGCCTCCACCACATCACTGCCTAATGCATTCCATTTGTTGACTACTCTGACACACTGAACAAATTCTTTCTAATGTCTCTGTGGCTCATTTGGGTACTAAGTCTTCACCTTTCTCTCCTTGTTCGTGTTCCACCCGTGCTAAATAGTTTATGTGTCCATCTTGTCAATTCCTCTGAGAATTTTGTATGTGGTGATCATGTCTCCCCCTTACTCTGCTGTCTTCCAGGGACGCGAGCGGAAGGAGAATTTGGAGCTTGGTGGTGGTTGGGGGGGGGGCGGGTCTGAATATAAACTATTTTTTTATCTTAGACTCTCCTTCAATGGCAGTAAGGTCTTTGGTCAACACGTGGAAACTTTCACGTGTTAAAGACATGTTCTGCTTTACTTCAAGCTTCGCTCTAAAAACCTAATGACAAACAGGTTTGAGTAGTAATTTCAGAGAATGGTGGATAAGTCTACGTTGCACGCATGGAGGTTAGCAGCGAGACATCAGTCGAAAACTATACATAAGTATCCTCCCTCTTATGAAGTCAAGTCCACTACGGGCTCGCCATATCCCGTGTTACTTGGAATCGTTTATTCCATGTAGCTAAATCTAAAACAACAACATCGTTCGAACGCCATCAGCCATACCACTTTCAGAACACCGCTTCTCATCCGTTTGAACGCGTGTATGTCTACACACCTGTGTATGTCTCTACACACCTGTGCCACAGGTGTGTAGAAACACTTGGTCTACGTGTTCAGTTCCGATCACAAGTGCACTGAGTTACACAACGTGGATCTGGCTCCCGTGCAGTAAGAATTTACGAAACCTGTTCATCTTTCCTTTATCAAACAGCTTTCGAGTTTCCAAACTTTGCAGTCACGGAAATTGTTATTGTAAGACATATTACTGTATTTTTACTGACACTTTATTTTTACTGACACCTTTTACTCATTTTACTGATACTATAACGTTTCAGAACTCACGAACAAAGAAGGCAAAGAAAGTCGCCATGATAAGGAAAGATTCAAATTTTTGCTGAATCTCAATCGAGGATGATTTTCAAAGACTAAATTCAGGACAGACATGCTTCAGGAACAAGGGTTTGCTTTGCTATGGAACAAACGGACGTAATAGACGCTGGATCCCCGAGTTGTTTCAAGCGTAGGTTAGACATTTATGTGAATGAGTTTTGGTTGATATAAATCGGAGCCGCCATCTATGGGTCAACAGGCGTTAAGGTTCACCTATTCATACGGTTTTATCGGGTTTTCTAGCGTCCTCGATTCGCCCATTTTATTGTGGATAAATCTGATTGTTTTCAAGGAACTTAGAACACAATCAACGCACGTGGGAGGGAGACTGACGACGTTTCGGTCCTTTCAGAACCCTTAACAGGTCGAAACTGGTGTCCTGGAGACTCAGCCTGGGGGGCTCAGGTCCTAGGGGTTTCAGGCCCTGGAGGGCTCAGGTTTTAGGGGTTTCAGGCCCTGGAGGGCTCAGATTCAGGGGGTTTTAAGTCCCTGGAGGGCTCAGATTCAGGGGGTTTCAAGCCCTGGAGGGCTCAGATCCTGGGGGTTTCAGGCCCTGGAGGGCTCGGGTTTTAGGGGTTTCAGTCCCTGGAGGGCTCAGATTCAGGGGGTTTCAGGCCCTGGAGGGCTCAGGTTTTAGGGGTTTCAGTCCCTGGAGGGCTCAGGTTTTAGGGGTTTCAGTCCCTGGAGGGCTCAGGTTTTAGGGGTTTCAGGCCCTGGAGGGCTCAGGTTTTAGGGGTTTCAGGCCCTGGAGGGCTCAGGTTTTAGGGGTTTCAGGCCCTGGAGGGCTCAGGTTTTAGGGGTTTCAGGCCCTGGAGGGCTCAGATCCTGGGGTTTCAGGCCCTGGAGGGCTCGGGTTTTAGGGGTTTCAGTCCCTGGAGGGCTCAGATTCAGGGGGTTTCAGGCCCTGGAGGGCTAAGGTTTTAGGAGTTTCAGGCCCTGGAGGGCTCAGGTTTTAGGGGTTTCAGGCCCTGGAGGGCTCAGATCCTGGGGGATTTCAGGCCCTGGAGGGCTCAGATCCTGGAGGGTTTCAGTCCCTGGAGGGCTCAGATCCTGGGGGGTTTCAGTCCCTGGAGGGCTCAGATCCTGGGGGGTTTCAGGCCCTGGAGGGCTCAGATCCTGGGGGGTTTCAGGCCCTGGAGGGCTCAGATCCTGGGGGGTTTCAGGCCCTGGAGGGCTCAGATTCAGGGAGTTTTTCCTAGACCCTGAACAATCTCAAACCCCTAACAACCTCACTTTCGCTTCAACTCATATTTGTGAGTTGGGTAATTAGACGTATTATGACGTATTCTCTGCTCATGGAACACCTGGGCTCAGAATTTATCAAAATATTTACCCATTCACATCCGAAACCTCTGCATCTTCCTCCGATTACGACGACTTAATCCGCATTTACTAAACGAGCTCGCACACTCCACAACCCATCGTTATTATGGCTATAAACAACCTCTCTGCGCTTTGAAGTCCCCACAAACCGTTTAATAAAATACGAACTAAGCCGCTATGACTGAAGGCA